ACTTTATTTTCTTTTTCTTCCTTTCCCTCAATCCTTTTAATCCTCCAGTTCAAGCAATTAGCTCTACAAATATTAGCTGCAATCAAGGTCTAACACATGTGGTAATTTTCTCTCTAATAAATCAATCAATTCTTTCCATGGAGTGTTTTTTTCCCTTACAGTCATTAGAAAATTACAATGCTACTTGAGGATCACCAGCAACTTGAATTAGTCAAGGAATGTCAATCAAATTTGCCAGATTTTGCTTTAAAGATGAGAAAAAATGGGGTAGATTTACAAAGCCCTCTTGTCTTAAAATAGGAAGCTTGATGGACCCTTGTTGAATCTCTTTTAGAGAGGCCTTGGAGTATAATGATGCCTTTGGAGGAAAATCAAAATCAGTACTACCAGTGACAAATCAGACAAAATATAGAACCTCTCATTAACAATCTAAAACTTAATCATTGGAATAATCAGCCCTACAGTATCCCTGGGCAATGCAATATTCCATAATAGTTAACACGTTAGCACAGCAAAGAGAAAAGACATAATCTAGCAAATGGCCGAATTTTAGTTCTATAACTTATTATTTTTTTTCTTTAGTTAAGTAGGAATAAAAGGAGTCAAACTGTGTTTCTCAGAGCTGTCTTTTGCATTGTGGGTAGGACTCTAGGAAATAGGGAAGGGGGGAGCCCAGTGACAGCTCCTTGACCATCTACCCTTCCAGTATAGCAGCTCAATTTTTGTCTTATTTCACACAAGAGTTCTGTTGAGGCAACAGGTTTTCTGCTTAAAAACAATTTGAGAATCACCTCTGTAGCCCAGACCACTCTTTTCATAAATATGTCAAATTAATGCCAGGGAAGGATTTTTTTTTCCCGAGACGAAGTGTCACTCTGTTGCCCAAGATCTCAGCTCAATGCAACCTCCAGCCCCTGGGTTCAAGTGATTCTCCTGCCTCAGTGTCCCTAGTAGCTGGGACTGCAGGCACACGCCACCATGCCCGGCAAATATTTTTGTATTTTTAGTAGAGACGGGGTTTCACTATGTTGGCCAGGCTGGTCTTGAACTGCTGACCTCGTGATTTGCCCATTTTGGCCTCCCAGAGTGCTGGGATTACAGGCGTGAGCCACCATAACTAGCCAGGAATTCTTAATTTAGTGACAGAGCAGGAAACAGATCCTGTACAGGATCTTCCCATGCCATGCCATACTGTCTCTTCTTATACTTGGGGAACAAATCAGGTGAGAATTTGCATGCCTCTGGAATGCGGCTTCCTTTTTTTTCCTTCTGTTTTCAAATGGTTACAAGGAAAAATTGATGCAGCCAAGTTAGTATGAGAAGAGGCACAAATGCTACACTGGAAGAGTCTGCAATTGTGCTCCTTTCTCTACAAACTTTGTAGTCACTCTGAAGAATTATATCATTATCCAGCACCTGAAAGGGGTCACAGGAGGGGGAGGCCTAGTTCCATTTTCTTATGTCACCAAATGTATTCCTATTAAGATTGAGAGAAGTAAAGATTTCAGCAGGATACTTGGTGAAAACTTGCTGACATTAATGACTCAAATTCTCAGAGAGACTGCAAGGAAAATGGTGTCATCACTGTCATTCAAGACATTTAAGATGAAATTTCAAAAGAAGGCTGTCAAGCATAATGACTGCCAGGTTCCATTATATCATTCTCAGCGGGTGGATCACACACACTACTACGCAGCCTGTGGGTGGCTGATGCTGAAGTTTGAAAGGAAGCTGCCTGGAGAAGAGGCAGGGGTGGGGCTGCCTCACATGAACAGGATACAGCACCATTGATATTCACATGGTGATTTGGAGGTAAATCTATGAATCAGGGCCTGGTCTTTAGTTAGGGAAAAGCTGAAACCTAGTGCTCGAAAAAATGTAGTAAAGTTTGAGCTGTAAATGATAGTGCCAATTTATTAATTTGCTATGAGGATATTCCTTTCCAGCAACCCAGATGCTCACGTCTGTGTGTATTCCAGCACTGAGATACCCGCAAAGCCTAGTTTGTAATCAGAAGGTAGCTATGTGGGAAGGAGGTAAGGGCAGTGGCTTCCGACCTTGGCTGCACAATGCAATCACCTGGGGTGATTCGACGCTAAGGTCATACTCTAAAATCAGATAAATCTGAATCTCAGGGATGAGGACACAGACATCAGTACTGTTGAAATCTTCTCAAGTGATTTTAATGAGCAGCAAAACTGAGAACCACTGTGTCAGAGCAAAGGGTGAGCCTCACCCTTTCTACTCAGGGATCTTGCATGTCATAGACTAGTGGGGTGGGTTTGGTTTGGTTTGGTTTTAAATCAGGAGCAGACATAGGTTTTTCAGTTTCTAAATGTGTCAAATAAAATCATTAAAAATTCAACTACCATTATCTCATTAAAGAAAGAAAATTTTTACAATAAAAATTAGGAAGGGCTTAATTTCAGGATATAAGAGTAACTCAATATTTTGTATTTATTTTTCTCATGTCTCTACAGACGAGTGAACATATCACTACAGGCTGATGCAAACTGAAGAACTGACGTGATCTAATTGCTCTCTACATCCACAATCGAGCCTTTCCTCCTTGGACAGCTTCGGATACATTTGGCTGAGTTTGGGTTAATTAAACCACTGTCCTATGCTAACTATCCTTCTCTTGCCATCTCCTTGATGTAGCGGTTAATAGTATTCAGTTGTAGGTAATTTATTTGCCCAGGCTTTGGAAATGTTCTGTCTCTTCCAATTACAGAATATGTTGATTTAGTAAGCTCAATTCTGCTTAGACTCTCTTTTTTCTCTTCTTTTCTGAGTCTCGCTTTGTCACCAGGCTGCAGTGCAGTAGCGTGATCTCGGTTCACTGCAACCTCTGCCTCCCAGGTTCGAGCAATTCTCCTGCCTCAGCCGCCCGAGTAGCTGGGACTACAGGTGCACACCACCACTACCAGCTAATTTTTGTATTTTTAGTAGAGTCAGGGATTCACCATGTTAGCCAGAATGGTCTCAATCTCTTGATCTCGTGATCCACCTGCCTCAGCCTCCCGAAGTGCTGGGATTACAGGCATGAGCCACGGCGCCTGGCTTAGACATCTTACACTAAGTTTTCTAGGGTGACTGTGGCACATATATGCCCAGATAACCACTTATTGGGAGCACTGGCACCCACTTGTTTTGCTAGTGGACCTTGATAGCAATTATTCTAAATCCCATGGAGAATTCATTGGAGGGCCAAATAAACTGTGATGAGTTACTTATTGTGTCAAGTTACACAAAATAAAAAGACTTACTAATATCGTAAACTTGGAGTGCCTCTTTGGAATCTTCTACATGCCCAGTTCTTCTGTGGCCATGTTTTACATTGGCCCTCTCCTCTGTTGAAGGTACACCGGCACTCTAGAATGAGTTCTATACTTAGTTGTCTGTCCTTAATGAGACTGGCTGTTGTGACTCCTAGGAGAGGAGAGTGGTGAGAAGTTTACCAGTACTCCAAGTCTGTACCTCCAAGTTCCCTTCAAAGTGTGCATAATGTAGAGACTCATTTATGCTGAAAATGGTGTGAAGTAAGTCTTCACTTATTAATGTCCTCTAAGCTGTCATGCTTAAAGGTGGAGCAAAAGAATGGAGGCTAGCATAAACATCTGCTTTTCGCCAACTGCAAAGGTTCTATTTACAGATGTCCGTGTTCTTCAAACACTCAAGATGTGTAACTAATAATGGGCTAGCCTGTTACTCCCAGACCAACCCAACCCAAACTGAAGTGTTTGCCATCTTTCAAAGTCAGGAGCTTTGCTTAGAATAGAACATCACCCTCAGAAGTAGACCTGGATTTGAATTCCAGCTCCACTATTCTCTTCAGCAAGATGCTTAAACTCTCTGAGCCTCAATTTCCTCATATATAAGATAGAAGTAACTTCTTCTTCTTTCTTATTCCTTCTTCCCTCCTCCTCCTCCTCCTCGTCCTTCTCCTCATCCCTCCTCTTCTATTACTATTTTTCTTCTTCTTCCTCCTCTTCATAACTTTATAATTATGATAATTATATAAGATAATTTAGGTAGAATACTTCACAAGTTGCCAGACATATTAAGTTCTTACTAAACATTAACTTTGTAGGTCGGAGCTCAGGACAATAACATGGCATATAATAAACATTTACTAGACAGACACACACGCACACGTGCGTGCACACACACACACACAGAGAGAGAGAGAGAGAGAGAGAGAGAGAGAGAGAGAGAGAGAGAGAGAGAGAGAGAGTCCTGTGTCTGTAGGAGGAGGAATTCATTGGAAACGCAGAGTTAAAAAGCTGTTACTGAATTCTGAACTTTAGTTTCCAGGTCTTGGCCATTTAACCGAACCTACCTGCTACTTAATCTTTGCTCATAACTGTCTCTTATCTCCCTAATGGATTACCATTGCTGAGGCGTGTGCATTCTTATGATGAATCCACAGAGTCACCTATCTGACCACAATCCCTCCTTCCATCAATATGCCCTTATCTTTACAGATCTTCGTATACTTTGGGCCCAGAAACACATTCCCTTGCTGTTACCCTAAAGTAGCTAAATTTGTTAAAGGAACGCATTTAGAAATCTCGATATTTGCTCCTGCATCTCCATATGTCTGTATGCCGAGAAAAATTTGAATCAAATTCTCTATTGATACATCTGGTATAAACCATGGATCTGGGAGAAATTAAGTTTGAAGGATAAGGACCCATCGTTGGTCTAGAGCACTTAATATTCATGTAGGATCCAATCCTGTTTAATATTTTTATCCTGCTGTAATTTAAAATGTTTGACATCAATTATCAGTACATGTACATATATGTTCTCCCTACCCCTGCTTAAAGATCCTCCCACCACCACCAGAAACAGTAACAAACAACAAAAATAAAAACATCAATAAATGAACTTCTCAGGTTGCTGCAAATTTACTATCAGATTCAAGCCTGTTTCAGAAAGTTTCCCCTCACCCAATCAGACAAAAGGCTGAGAAAGGGAAACATTTATCAAGTTACACTGAGGACTCCATCTGTTATCTTAGACCTTTGTTACCAAGTGACACAGAGGAGATACTTGAAGGCAGTTTGAAAGACTTTTGTCGTATAGATTCTTAGTCCAAAGATTTCCAATTAGGGAGAAGCAGCAGCAGAAAAGGAGAAAAACCAAGGACGAGTGATGAAGAGACCTTCATCTACTGACACTTAACCTGGCGAGAACCGTCGATGGTGAAGTTGCCTTTTCAGCTGGGATCTGTCCATTCAGCTTCTGTAATAAATGCAGTCACAGGGGCAGTCCCTTCCCATTGCTCACAAAGGTCTTGTGTTTAAAACCTCGCCCTCACAGAGGCTGTTTCTCATCATGCCAAGCCAACAGAAGAAAATCATTTTTTGCATGGCTGGAGTGTTAAGCTTTGCATGTGCCCTCGGAGTTGTAACAGCCTTGGGGACACCGCTGTGGATCAAAACCACTGTCCTCTGCAAAACGGGAGCGCTGCTCGTCAATGCCTCAGGACAGGAGCTGGACAAGTTTATGGGTGAAATGCAGTACGGGCTTTTCCACGGAGAGGGCGTGAGGCAGTGTGGGTTAGGAGCAAGGCCCTTTCGGTTTTCATGTAAGTAGCAATTGCATGTGAATTATTTAATACTTTAAGCAGACTCTTCCAGGTATTGCGAGGAATTATATTTAAGAGTTTTGCCCCGTTTTTAAACTGGTATGCACCATGTAAAAACATAAGGCTCTGAGCTATTTCTTCTTCCTAATTTTTATTATTTGTTTTCATTACTTTATACTTTTTATTATGATAACAGAGTTCATTGTTACATAATTAAGGTGTTTGGAAAGATTAGCAATTAGGATTCTTAAGGTTAATATTTACGTTAAGAAATTATGGAGTTTTTAAAAAGTGAACTTGGGTAAGTAGAAAAGCTGTAAAAAATTATCTTTATGCCTTTTGTTCTTTATGAAGAGAGACACGGTCCTGGGTGCCTTACTTAACCCTACCTCCTTTGCCACCTTTTTCACGATCTCATTTCCTGCTCCCCGCTTCCTTCCATTATTCCTGCTATGACCTTTGCTGCTGCTAAATATTCAGTTTTCATTTTTAACCAATTTGGAATCATTTGGCTGTAGAAATTTAAAATGATCTTCTGTGCTAACTGGGAAAGAAATAGATGCCTATTTAGTATAGAAAATTTTAAACTGATTGACCTGCAAATCATGTAGAGAATGAGAGAGATTTTCTTGTCGTGATTTTTGTGAAATGGAAGAGCTAACCACAGTATTTATAACCTGTTTATCTTAAGAAGAGAATTTTTTAAAATTACCATGTGAATAGGCAACTCATTAAATGAAAATTAATAAGAAGTCGTTTGTTATATCTCCTACAACACACATTCAGAAGTTATTATTATTTCGGAAGGGCTGGTTCGGAACAATCTAAGAAGACACAGTCAGTAAATTACTGCATAAATCACTCTTCAGGAAAGGAGGTTACCAGTTGAAGCATTTAGAATGAATTATGATTTTGCACAGGTTTTTTCCCCTTCTAGTATAGGTAGAAGGCTAAATTAATTGAATTTATTATTAACAGATGCACTGCCTAATTAAATTTCAGTGCTGGTCTATTTATATTTCTGTAACATTCCTCCTATCTTCTCAGCAGTCACTGGACACCAGCCTTCAGCTCACATAGGTTACTAAGTGATATGAATTTTCATAGGGCTCCAGAACATTTCCAAGAACTACTCGTCAGCTTTTTAATTGATGAAGTGGATACCAGTTCTTTTCACTCAATGGCTTTTATTCATTAAGGCAATGGGGCTGTTAGAGTTGCTTAGTTTTCCTGGGGAAGGGGGAGAAAGGAGACAAAACAGAGTGTCATGTGATATGCAACTGTATCGAACAACCGAAAAGGAAAAAAGATGAGAGATGATTTAACCATGAGTCACTGGCAGCCACAGCGTGAGTAAAGCTTCTCACAAATGAATTTAGACAAAAGCAGAGCGGGTACTGTCGAATTTTCTGGAGGCTTTACATTCTCTACAGTGAAATGAAGATAAACTTCGGATATGTTTCAAAACAATAATAAGACGTTTTCTGAACTCTTACTACATACTAAGCACGTTGTCTGCTTTGTCTCATTTAATCCTCACACAGCCACATTCTTCCGGGGTTGAGTGAATGACTTTTGCAGTTGTGTCCTCTGCTGGTTCTGTCTAGGATGAAGTTGTTCTAATTGGGTGCCCCTCCCCTTGCTTTCTGTGAGGACTCACAGAACTGGTGGGGTTTAAACAGTACCCTTACTTATCTCACAGAATTGCATTAGTTCCCAGATACCCCTAACCTTCTCCCCCAGCCTAGTGAAGAAAATCTTCCATTTACTTGTTTGTTCTGACAACTCCCTCTGTATACAATAGACTATACATATTAAGTGTACAGTATATACTATACATGTTAAAATCTCATATTGGTGAGGCCCAGCAAAGAATACTTACAGTATAGCTTTTTTCCCCCTAAGCATAAAGGTATATTTTTCAATGCAGCATGAGAGAGAGTTGGGAAAATGAAAAAAAAATAAATCCAATGGACTCCCCAAAGAGCATAATATTCATTTAAATAAACACCCCTTTCGGTGTTAAAACTTCCTAATCAACATGCCTTTGGGACATGTTGCACCCTCAAAGTTTATACTCCCATTGCAATGCAGCTTCACAGTTCACATTTTTTCCATTCAAAATGTCATTATCCTGTCAAGGATATTTCATCAACGTTTGCTTGGATGAGAATCCTCTGATGTTGTTCCTGATAGAAATGTATAAGCCCTGTTCATATAAATTAGTAGAAGGTCAAACCTCATTTTCTCGGTAGTGGCTTCTTTGGAGAAAAAAATCAAGGACCTCCAGAGAGCTCAGGAGGATGACTCTTCTGTTTCTTCCAGAGCTCAACTTATAATTAGTGCACAATTCATTTCCCAGAATGTCCTCTTTCTTATTGTGCCTTTAGAAAGTTATTAAGCAAACATTTGAATTTGCAGAATCTTACCAGCGTAGGAGGAATGAAAACGGCAACTGATTAAGCTAACAATCACTTCGTGGGCAGTTTTCTTCACGTTGTCAAGTTATCACCAGTTAAAAGGTATATTTCAATTCTGTTAGGTGGATAAACACTATTTTGCTTACCTAAACTTTTCATTTAGATCAGCATTGCCCAATAAAAATATACTACAAACCACAAATGCAAGTCACATATGTATTTCTAAATGTCATGGTAGCCACATGAGGAAACAAAAGTAAAAACAAACAGATGAAATTAATGATATTTTTTAAAACCCAAGATAACCAAAGTATTGTCATTTTAACATGTAATCAATAAAACTTTATTGAGACATTTTACATTCTTTCTTTTTCTTGATGCTGCCTTTGAAATCTAGAGTGTATTTTACATTTACATTATATCTAATTCAGTTTAGCCACATTTCACGTGCTTTTTTGTGGTTTCAAGGAGCAGAGAGTTTAACAGGCAAGAAAGAAAAGAGAAAGCAGAAGGAAGAGGCTCCCCCGTACAGAGACAGAGGGAGGGGGGCTCCAAAGCTGAAAGAGGAGGTCCCCAAGTGCTGTGGACACCAGCCAGGTATATATGCAGAGGCTGGAGGAGGCATTGTCTGATTTGCATAGGGTCACGTGCTCATTTTTACGGCTACTGTATTGGTCAGTACAGATTTAGATGGAGATTTGTTCTGAACAAGTTGCCCATTATGGTGTTCATATTCTAAGTGAATTTTTCCTGAGTTCTGCTGTACAAGTCCATGTGTGTTATTTTCATGTACAATGCTTGTCATTTTAAAAGCCAGATATATGGCATAACATGAGAATAAAGAATGGACTAGAAAAATAGTTTGGCAATGTAGTCATGTTTGTTCCTATTAAATGTTCCCTATTGACCACTCTAGCTCTTTTAATTATAACAAGAATCTGCCCTGCCAGCATGCACAGTTACGCTGGGAAAACTTCTGCCTCATTTACTCTGGCTGATTCTCATCCACTTATGGGTCAGCGGTTCATTTCCTAGAGGTCACCAGCATTCATACCTAGCACACAATTTCATTCATTATAATGAAGGAATGTTTTCCTTTCAAAGAGACACAACTGGTGGGCTTAATTTTTCTTGATATGTCACTTGCGAAATTTTAATGATGATGTTTAAACTCTAAATGTAGCCATCAAGACAAAAACCACCAATTTTGAGTTCAGTATGTGTGTGTGGGTTTCTGTTTTGGTGATTTGAAAGACTGCAGAATATCATCAAAGAATCATATGGTATCAATCATTCCTAGATATACTGATCTATTCATTGCCAAGAAAGTTCAATGAGCTGGTAAAAACATATGGAATTATTTTCTTAAAATGTGAAAAATAAAATTTCACCGATTATGTATCACAGCTTGCAACTTTAGTCATACTTTGAAAAGCATTTTAATTTGAACCTCATGATTGAAAATTCATAAAAAGCTGAACAGAAATTAGTTCATTTCATATTTTAGAAAAGCAGAATTTCTTTATTAATGAAGCATTTGACCCAGATTGGAGATAAATGTTGAAACTACTTCTGTAAGCAAGCAGGTGGCTTCTCAAACACATGTTGCGATGAAATAGTTGGGGCTCAGGGGTTCAGTGCCTGTCACTGAGATCTGGTACTCTCTATCTCCACGGTCTCCTCCAAGTGTGACTCTTGTCTACTGCTGACCTGATCTGCCCCTGCTCCTGAGTAGCTGGGACCACAGGCATGTGCCACCACACCTGGCTAACTTTTAAAAAAAATTGTTTGTAGAGATGGGGTTGCCCAGGCTGGTCTCAAACTCCTGGGCTCAAGCAATCCTCCTGCATTGACCTCCCAAAGTGCTGGGATTATAGGCTTGAGCCACTGTGCCTGGCCTCTTCAAGGGTATTCTTTACCCAGAAGAGGAACTTGGCAGAAATTATCCTCCAATCGATGAGGAATATGGGGAAATTGACTCTGAGGGAAAGGAACTTCTGGTTCTGCCTGCCTACTCTAGAAAAAGAATTATTATTTCTCCCTTCCACTAATAACTATCTTTCCATATTCATATGAAAAACTGCCGAATCAACATTGTTCAAGAATTATAATTTTGCATGTATACACGTGTGCACATGCACACCCATATACCTTCCTTCCCTTTAATCATCCCACACCCTAATAGTAGCAAAATCACTGATCTGAGCCTACCTGGGAGAGGAAGAGGAGTCTGACGGGGCAGGTCCTAAGTGGCACTTCTGGAACTTAACCCTGGTGTACTAACTCTACCTCTTGGAGGATGACGCCACAACTGTTCTCACAATTTGCTGCTCTGCTTTCTTTTCTAATTGCTGTAGGTGACTCATCTTCCTCAAGGACTTTAAGACTTCCCAGAAGAAAAAAATATGGGGTGAGTCTCTGCCACTCACAGAAGATTAGACCTTGAGAATGATAAAAGTCTATTAGTGTATAGTCATTAATATTGAATAACTTTTACCAATATTATGATATTGATAGAATGATATTGATAAAAGCAATATTCAAATAAATAGTATTTCAGCTGCCCATTTATTGGGTGCC